CTTTCCCAGAGCAGGGTGTGTTTCAGTACCTGCAGCAGCGAGCATGGCAGCTTGCAGGACATGGACACTGCTTTGGTACTGCTACCTGCATTTGGGTACATCCCTAGCAGAAGAGCTGGCACTGCAGCTTACAGAAGGCAAGCATACTTAGAAACTGTTGTTTCTGCTCTGTGACAACACTTGCAGAGACAGGGTAGGAGGTTTCTCCTCTGGAAGTTCCTTGGGCTAAGGAGAACCTGGAGGAGAAAGTCCTAGGTACACAAAGTTTACATTGGTGCAAGTAATTCACAAGGATGCAGCGCCAAAGAAGTGCAAGTCATGTTTGCTCTGCAGTATTGAGTACTAAGGAAAAGCCTCCACAGACCAGCCTCGAACCACCCCTCTCCCTGCTCCAGTGCACATTACTCCTGGCAGACTTTGCACGCTCGCTCTTCTCTGAGCTTTGGACTTCTGAGCAATCAGGCTCCCATTTGATACCCCTTGCTGCTAGCACCTGAGCTGCTGCCCCGACACACCACAAGCACTTGCACCTGAGACCCAAAACAGCCACACACAAAATTCCTGTTGAACTAGAGTTGAATGAAAGAAGCCAAGACACCTTGGACATCACTCTTAGGGTGAGGGACAGACTGGTAGCGGGACAGTCCACTGCTGGTCTGGATGGTGTACCTAGCTCTGGTGCCGATGCTTGTGGGCACATCCTTCTAGCTGTCTGGGACCTATCTTATCCCCTCTCTAACTACTGTGTCTGTTTAGATTCTCAGCATTCTGGGCCAGGGGCCATCTCACTGTGCCTGTGCAACACATCAGGCAGCCCCATGCACTGGTCTTCACGGAGTGGACTTGGCACGCTGGATTCTGTGAAGAGCAAGCACAAACTCCAACTGGAAGGAAAAGCTTAAAACCCCAATGAAATCGAAGACTGACTGCACTGGACTGTAACAGAGCCTGTTTATATAACACACCCTTCTGCTTGTGCTCAAGACCAGAGCTTTGGATCTCCAGTGTTAGAAAAGGGCAAGCTCTAACCCTCTGTGTCCCAGTAAAAACTTCATGCAGCTGCTACAACAGGTAGGAGAGAAAAATCTAAACATCTGCCCCTTCTGCCACCTTTAAAGCCATTGTGGGCCGGGCTACATACATTTAGGGGCTCGCTGAACTGGATGCAAATGCCACAAAACAGCCTGTTTCAACTGAGCCCCTGCTCAGGCCTGTATCACCATGCAGTTCCCTGGTTCTCAGAGGTGTCTGTTGCACCTGGTTGGCCTCTTGGCATCACCTTTGTAGCTGGAGGGTCCCAAGGGAAGTGGCAGGGAGGTGCCGAGGAATTAATTCACAGCACGTTGTCAAAGGGGTAGCAGTTGGCAGCTGCCCATTTGAGCTTTCCTGTGTGCCCTGACAAGCAGAATTAAGTGTGCATGGGGTCTTTAAGGTATTCCAGATGTGACTTCTGCACACGTGTGTGTCCACGCTCTCCTTCCCAAGACAGGCACAGCTTATTAGCAAGAACCAGCAAAGCATCCAACAAAGCAGCTGGAGCCTGTGCCTCTCTGGACAATGCACCAGGGAGAGGTAGCTTCTGCAAGACCAGTCCCCTGACCCATCACATGCCTCAGTCTGCCTTCAGTCTGGGGCGAAGGATGAAGGGAAGTGCTTGCTGCCCCCTAAAACCATGGTCTCCTGTCCCCCAGTGCTCCTGTGCAATGCTGAACAGCATTTCTGCAGCTATTTTCTTTTAGCTCTGCTGAAGTTGGAGATGTTTGGCTGTAGGAGGAACACTGAACCCCCCTGAGTTCCTTTTTGCTAAAAGCAAACCTCAGCTGCTGTCATCTCACTGCCTTGTATCTCGTGCTCTCTGGGATCTGGATGGAGACAGCTGCAGGCAGATGTGTGTGACCCTCAGCAAGGGCAGCCTCACTAACACAGACGAAACAGCTCCATGTGGGAAGTTTCAGAAGGACATATTCCTGGAAAGTCACTCTACAAAGCCTGTGCAGGTGCTCGCTATAAGCACAAGTCCTCTGCACTCAGCCCACAGGATGGCAGAACAAGCCTGATTAAACCAACTGCAGCTTTGCTCCTCTCTTCTGTGGCAAAGCAAGGCCAGGGATGCAATTCCTTCATACCACAGGGAAAGGGAAGATGTGTGGGTTTATCCTGCCAGACTCCAGGATCTCTGTCCTGGAGATCTGCTTTCTGCACCACATCCTGACAGCTTCAGGGGGATCCACTCTCCCCATCTAAGGCTGAGAGCTGCATGTGGGCAGCCAGGGCCAAGTTCTTCACCACACCAGAAGGCAGAACCCAACCACATGTAGCCTGCCCCACTTTCTGCAAAAGCTACATGATCACAGATTCCTTCAGGGCTGTGGTGGAAGTTGCTTCACCTGCACATGGGAAGAGCAGCTCATCTTTAGCTCTGAAGCCTGGATACACTGTAAGGAAGAGAGACCTTCAGCAGCCTGGCCCTAATGCTGCACAGGCTGACTGCATGTGGCACACAGGGACCAGGTCTCTGGGTCTCTTTAGTACTTATGCTTGGTATTAAAAAGTTCAAGAAAATAATGACTTTGGACCCTTGGGGAAGCCTTTTACTTGTCCTTTTTTAAAAAATAAAACTGTCATCCTCTGCACACATAACCATGTGTGTTAAATTCAGAACTAAGTCCTAATTTTTTCTTTTTAGATTGAAATTGCTTAGAACCTTGTTCCTTACATCTGACTTTTTGGTGTAGGTGTACAACATTTATTGCCACTAGCATTTAAGCTCTCCTCTCTTGTAGAGAGGCACGTAAGCTTGTACACACACACATGCTGGCACAGGCACAATGAAAAAGCATTTGCTCCCCCACTGCTCACCTGCCAGCTGGGGTTACTAAACTTTTCCCTTGAAATAAAAATGCTGTGGAATAATAAGTCCCACCTGTCGGCCATTTCTTTCTTTCTTTTTTTTCCAGGTCCTTCTGCTCCTTTCATCATAGCTTCATGCAAAAGCCTTGATGTGTTATAGCTGCGTGTGCTCGAGTAAAGGCCACCTCAGCTTTTCCATTATAAACCCCAGTTTTGAGGGGTTTATGAAACTCTGCTGCAAGAAGTTTGCTCCAGGGCTGTTAGAAAGCAAAGAAAAGGGGCCGGAACAAGGATGGAGTTTATTTTTTCTCCTCCTTTCTTAATTAAAATTTGGCAAGTGATTGATCCACAATACAGGCTAATCACTTGGGGTAGTTTGAAAAATACATTAACGAGAGCGGAGATGTTGAGAAGTCGTTAGGGCTCACACAGTGCCAGGAAGGATTGGAATATTTTGTCTTAAAGTTGCCTCTTAAAAAAAAATGGCGTGACATCTGCTGTAAATTGGCTAAAGCAAAAAAACTCAAAAGGAAGGATTTAGGCACTTCCTGCTGTCCTGCGGGTCTAAAAATGGACAATTTCCAAGCAGAATATGCTACCAGGCACAGAGAATGGAGACACACACACACAGAGAGCAAACCTGGGCTCAAAGCTTGCCTACTTTATAGGGAGGAAAACCAAAGCAGAGAGATGACAGGAGGGACCCAAACCAAGAGCCAGCTTCTGCCAGGAGAGGAATTGAACTCCAAGATCCAATTCTCAACCAACGTGACAGCCTCCTCTCCCACCTACGCCTCCGCATGAAGTGACACCTTCTTCTCCGCAAATGCTAATTCCCAGAGAAGCAGCTGTTCTCCACTGCTCTTGTGGGTAACTCCAGTTGCCAGGTAATGGGGTTAAAGCAATCAGGAGAGCAACTTTTTTCACAGATCCTGCCCAAAGGGTGGAGCTCACCCCCACAGGTTGTTGGAGGCCAAAACAGAAATACAGCAATAAATAACTGGACAACATCATGGCAGATAGGAACATAATGAAGAATCAAGCGCAACATCCTCCATGCAGCTGGTGACTCAGGAGGTCTCCACGTTGCTGGAAGCACTAAGGTATCACCCAGAAGGATTGCTCTGTATCTGCGCTGTTTCTTACAAAAATACTCCAGTCCACATGGGATTTATGGTATTATAGCCTAGAAAAAGCGACAAGGCTAACAATGCAGCAGCGTAATCTACCAAAGATATAAATGTGTCAACTGCAGAGCACACATATCTATCGATGGATCCCCTGGAAGCATATTCTGTGATGAAGAAGGCTTTTTAGAAGTGATTTTTTCCTGCCTTTGCAGTTGTCATTTTCAAATAAGCCTAAGACAGGCAAGCACAAGCCTGCAGTCAGCAAATACACATAGGAAATGCTGGATCCGGCTGTACAGGTGATGGGGGAAACTCAGCAAACTGCACCTGCTCAAATAATCCTGCCCTCTTTCAGCCCCTGCACGTCTGCGCCCACCAACAGCTCTATCACGGGCACACAACAGCCTGATTCAGCTTTTAACTCCATTTACTTTGTAAGGAAATACACCAGGGTTTGGGAGATTGCACAACTACAGCTCAGAGGGACATGAAGAACTCACCAACTCACTCTCCTGGCAAGATCACCTCAATTGAATTACTGCTGACAGACACACATCAAACCTGTTCTCACAAACCTCCAAGGATGGAGGCTCCAAACCTCCCCAGCAAAGCACTGCACCAGACTAACTATCTCGAGTGTCAGCACACTCTTCTCAAGAGAAGGAAAATATGAATCTCACCCACTAGTAGCTGTGGGTTCTCCCTTGGTTAATAGGGAAGGATAGAGAAGGGGCAGACAAACCTCTTCCAGAGGGAGATTTGTCCACCATCACCCAGTCACTCAGGGCTGCAGTTCAACAACCAGCTGAGGACAGACACCCGTCGCAAGGACGGTCGACACCGAAGGCAACGAACCCCACCTCCTGCTGCCCAGGCTAAGCCTCCCTCCTGTAACACCACTTCCTCTCCTGTCTTTGAAGAACCTGCATGTGTTTTCAGGGTTTTCCAAAAATGATCGCAGGGAACTCTCTCCACTCTTGTGTCCCAGTTTCTGCATAACCTGAAGATATCAACTAGCTCTCTGCAGGCAGGATGGATGAATGAAAAGTGTGTTGGGTGCCCCAGACAACCAGCGAGTAGGGAGTAGCAAGTTCGTCGGTGTGGTTTGACATAGCAATACAAACCCAGCAGAGAAACCCAGCTGACAAAACAGCTCATATGATTTCCTGGGAACCTGGGTATGATCACACAGCATCAAGCAACATGTTCTTCCATCCCTCTCCTTGTCTTTGTTCCTGTTGTGCCTACAACCACAGAGCTGCCCACAGCGTACAGCACACCTTTAGCCTGTGGCTCCTGGCCTGCAGCCCTCAGCCGCCACAGCTAGTGGAAGGAGAGAAAGCCACTCAACTCATCATGTCCTGATGCTGAGTGAAGGGAGGGTTCCTCCCTTTCTCCATGGCCACCCTGAGGAGGACCATCTAACCAAACAGGTTCTACTGGCACTGAGGTGCTGGCTAACTCAGTGAGCACCAGGATCTCAGTTCTCTTAAGCCATCTCCAGGGTTCCTTCCTGTGACCTCAGCCCTTCCTTTATGTTAATGCAACACGGCAACAGGAGACAGAGATGGAGACTGCTCTGGTGAATGTTTCATCCCCAGAACTTGGAGCCTGTTTGATGCACTGAGCACTAATATAATGCTACCTAAGCTAGAGAGCCCAGCAACCGTTTGTAGAGTTGGTGATTAAAAATGTCTCCCCCTCTCCCTTGGCAACAGAACAGTTATAATGTGGAATTGGACATCATGAGCCAAAAGTCCAAAAATTGTATTTTCAGAAATCCTAAGCACTTTAAAGATCCAATCCTCATCAGTGTCCTGGACACTACCAAAGTCAGAGGACACTAGAGATGTTCAGATCATTGTAGCATCATATCTTAGAAAATGCTTAAACCTTTTAAAAACTGCTTCACCTCCTCTGGTGCACAGACAGATGTGAGCATCAAATTTCACCCTGTCTTCAATACCCTGCAGAGGTTTAGAAGTGCTCCCAGGCACTCTGAGCCTTCACTTCCAGGGCCTTGTTCAATACACGGTCCTCCCTCTCCCAGACACACTCACACTCTAATTTAATATTAGATCTTGGCTGCGCATATAAACCACAGGCACACAGGAGAAAGGGGACTTTTCACCAGCAGGGATGGCAGATCTCCAGAATGTTCAAAAGGGGCCGGAAGCCCGACACAACCCACCCGCCCCAACTCCTATTAACTCCAACAAATTGTTTATTGCACAACAGAAGAAAAATGTTGCCCCTCTCCCCCAGCCAAGTCTTTCCATGTGTGCTGCACGCGCAGGCTCCCTCCTCCTGCCCCCGCTGGGGAGCCAGCTTTATACCCAGGGAAAGGTAACAGCAGCGATTATTACACACACTATCCCACAGCTCCTCGCTTGTTAAAAAAAACAAGAGTCTCTTTTGTGCCCGAAATAAAAGGAGATACCTTAATTAGAACAATGCAGGTTGGTGAGCATTAAACACTGAGCCCAGCTGCTGTATGCCATTAAATTCATAAAAAAGGAGGGGGGAAGGAGGGCAGTCTTAACGAGATTACACACATTGACTTTGATCAAGACACAAAAGCACCAAGGCGTTCCAGGGTTTTTATTGCTGTCTTCGGGCTACATTTTAATGGTTACATTAGAAACATGCGAACACAGGCTGGGAGATTTTTTTTGAGACAGGAGAGGGAGTGCAAGCATGCCTTGTGAAAAGGCCTGGTTTAATAAACTGGGGGCTGCCGGGAGAGGCTAGGGCTGGGGAACACATGAGTAGCCACTTATTAATTGCTTCCCCTATGCAAGTGCCAAGTCCTAATACAATGTCTTGCTGGACTATTCCCATCCCGCCTGCCTGCTCAGCAGAAGAGCCACGTGCAGACACCATGCAGCCAGCTCCATCCCCACCTTCCTCACCGGTATCTAGAGGGGGAGCTGACTTCCCCTCTGCAAGGATCAGTGCTAACCCCTGAGCACCTGGAGTGGGGTTTCCCTGTTCTCATGAGCAGCCGTGACTGTGGTACATGAAACAAAGGGGCCTGACTGAAGTTGAGCCTAAGAACAGCCTGAAATCAGTGTCACAGATTTAAAAGATGATTTGAGGCTGCTGGGAAGAGGAGAGGACAAAGATTTCAGACTACAAAAAACTGAAAAGAAATTAAGTGTTTTATCCTCTGCTTGTCGCACTGCTGAAGGACAAGATTACTCTTCACTTAACGAAGGTGGCAGAGCACACATTCATCCAAACACCTCACAGCTACATATCCACATATGCCTCTTTTATAACATGCTGCTAAAATGTTTACAAAAGCTTGTATAATCTAAATAGTGATGGGGTGTAGCTGAAGAGCTATAAAATACAGCCCAAGGGATAGCCAAGTTATTGAGTTGCTATTAGTACTCAAGCCCACAGGCACTTCACCATCCTGGTAACTTTTCTTGGACAAGACTTTTAAAAGGCAGGATTTAAAGGAGCATGATTGGCTTAATCGTAATTCCAAGCACACAACGTGTTCTATAAAGTAGATTTTGTAATGCCTTACTGGAACAGTTTTGAGGAGTGGCATTCCCTTACATTTTTTGCAACCCAACACTGTATCATCTTGCTAGCAAGAGAACTAGAGAGCACAACTGACTATTTTCCACTCCCCAACCTGAACAAAATGAAAGCTTGAAAATCAGCTGCACAGGGGAAATGAAAAGCTGATTATAAAGCCTACAGTTTTAACAAAGGAAAGGGAAACACTTTATTTAATAACACTTTAAATTTTAACCTCATGTCCTTCAATACATGTATAAATTACTGCATTGGGTCACCTATTCAATGGGTCACCTATTCAATATTCAGGGTAGTCCCTAATCTTCCAAACAGAACGGCATAATGCTTGAAAACTGCACAGTGCTATTTCAAATAATCTGAAAAATATAGGTTTGTATTCATAAAAGCTCCCTTCCATATCATCTATCCTGAAGATGATTCCCTTTGCTTCAGGGGAGTATTAGGTTTCTCAGAAGCTACCCATTCCATGAATCTCAGTGGACTTGGCCTCCATTCTCACAGCTTTACCTCTCTACATGGATGCCCCACAGGATATTACTGTAAGGCAAGGTTGTCCCCAGCACAGAGCTCTTACGCGAGCAGTGGCTGTCCCCACAGCAGCAGAGGAGCAAGTAAGGGACACGAGTGCACTTTGGTCATGACAACTCAAGCAAAACTCACTCAAGTCAAAGCAAGGCTTGGGAAGTCTGCACACACAGCACTCACATTGTTTAAAATAAAGCAAAAAGCACCTTTCCCATGGTGATTCAAATAAAGTATTCCAGAAGAGAGGAAAAAGTCTGGAAGTAAACAAGAAAGTAGCCAAGAGCCTCACCAGAGTCCGCAGCCAGCATTCTTCACAGTGCACATGCCAGCACTGAATGGAAGTCAGGGGCATTGTGTAGGAGTCCTGAGGAGAAAAAGTAAATAGGTTATTCCCACAGCAGGGATCTACTAATTCTTCACCCCCAACCCCATCGCAACACCTTTCTTTGTGAGTAACATTACCTTGTATTTTGTATTGAAAAAAAAAAAAAGCTTGTGTAATATGTAAGTTCGTATTTTGGTAATGTTTGTGCAGTAGAGGCAGAAAGTCTCCCACAGTCCATTTTTCCGGCTTCCCAGAACTCCTGTTGGAAGCCTATAATCCACTCAAGTGGTGACCTGGCTCAACAGTTATCGCACGAGCATCTGAAGCTGCTGTGGCCACCTGCCATTATTCCCATCAGAAAGGTTACCAGATCATACAAAAACCAGTGACAGAGTAAGATTAACCCTTATCACAACTCTTAGCTCTGCAGGAACAGCTTAACTACATCCCAAGAATGCTGCTGCTATTTCAGCAGACATACCTTCTCATGAGTATTTTTTTATCATTGCTAATAAACCTCTGGAAATCAGCAACAAGGTGGCATCTCTCCTGTGGGATGAGAGATGGGGACAGCACCCTCGTACCTACAAGTCATGAGCTGGGAGAGTACACGCATCGAGCTGAAGTTGCAGAGGGAGCCCTCCACCAAGCAGAATATTCTCCTATCACCAGAATAAAAACCTAACAGGAGATGCACAGCTTTGCAGGCTCGGACCATCAGAGGGAGCTGCTGCCCTTCTTTAAGAGGGCTGCAGCATCATCACAGAACAAGCAGGACATCGACAACTTCGAAATGCTCAAGCAACATTCCTGTTCTCAAATCATATAGTGGGTCTCAGATCACGGATTCTGTTCTCTCCTATGTATGTAAATCTGCACGTGCAGGAAGAGGATGCTGGTACCTGTGAGTTTTCTATAGGTAGGCTGAAAGTCTTCCAATGTTGGGGCTTTTTTTGCCCTGATACAGATGGAGAGCTAGAAATACCAGAACAATGTAACACACAGAAATTTCAATTGCTGAAAAGACCTAGCACCTTCATTTGGAAGGCTAATTGGTGTACAGGGACAAAGATGAGATCCCCCACTCCACCAAAAAACAAGAAAAGCTTCTCCCCTCCTCGGCAAAGATACCAAGACATTTCTGATTCATTACCACAAGTGGAGAGCTACTCACCATGCAAATGAGACATTTATAGCGGTCCCCACGGGAAAGCTGCCTTTCTAACTCACGGACACGAGCCTTTAACGCTTCAAATGTTGTCACTGCAGAGTCTTCTGTAATTCTGCAAAAGATGATGGAGAGTGAGCATCACTAAGCACACAAGATTATTAAGAGTTCAGGGGGAAAAACAAACCCACATCAGGTACTGTACAGAAAATGGTAACATTTGAACTAATACATCCAACTTGGGGTGAAGAAGAAAGCTGAATCACACTGAAAAGCCCGGTGTGATTTCTTTAAGGTGTCCTACTAAACACTTCCAAACACATCACGACAGAACACAATGGGGCTGAGGCTGCCGACTTTGTACAGAGCAAGTTTCTGCAAGACATGGACATTTAAAGAACAGATTTTTTTTGTTGTTGCTGTTGCTGGGTTTTTTTTATTTGTTTTCTGCCTCTTTTTTTGGCTTCCTTAAGAAATTCCTTAGGAACAAATGCTTTGGACAAAGTTCTGTACATTGCTTTAAATCTGGTGAGAAAACTTTCTGTGGGCAATAGAAGCTGCTCTTCCCCTTAGAGAATGGAGGTCTTCACTGGCCATCGACCTTGTGAAACACAGTATCAGCTCGTTACACAGGATCAACACAATGCTTTTATACTAAAGAAATCCCTAGCTTGTTGGGTTCTAATAGTGGAAAAAAAAGAGAAACCAAAAGCAATGGACACTGTGCCAACAGGGTGGCTATAAAAGCAGCTTTACAATCTCTGCTTTCCCATTTCCTAGGGTCATTTTTGATGGGCAGCATTATCTCTTTTGTCACAGAGGCGCTGTGCTGAGGGCAGGCAAGTGTATTTTCATGGTTTTGTGAGGCTGGTGGAAAGAGCAACTTGCCAACCTAAAAGCAAGGGCACACGGCAATGTTTAGCAAATGAGATGCGGGGAGCATCATAGACAAGGATGTGTCACTCCAGCATGCTGCAAAATCCGATTCCTACATGGTGCAGGCACAGGGAGGGGCCCTGAAGCATTCCCCAGAAAAGGTTTAGACATTAAGGCTTCCATTCTCGCAAAAAACCAAAACAGCAGTTTTCAGGTATGTCAGTGAATTTCAGGCCTGTCCAAGCAGACTCCAGCTCAGAACCTGAAGAGTACCTCACCACCAGAAGCTGTATCAATCACAACATAACCCACAGTGGCACCTCAGTGTTCTACCTTTTTAGAGGATGATTAATCAACAGGTGGCTAAACCATGGGTCTAGTGGAATTACTACAACCAATAAAGTGAGCTGCAATCTCAGCACTCCCGCTGTATGCACAACGCTTGCTCCTTTGTTCATTAGTCACTTGTCACTGGCATGCAAGGAGGGACCGGAGGTATCTCCCATGAGGTGATTCTGTTGGCTTTTCCCAAGGCTCTGGAAACGGAGCTAGTCGAAAAGATCTTGAGTGACTTTTCTAATTATGACACTTCAGAAGAAACAGGAGCTGCAGGAGCGCATATAGTTAAGTACCAGTGTCACAAAGCTCCTCCAACTTCACTCCTACCTTTGTACAGATCAGACGCTCTCTGCACGAGCTAACCGAGGAGAGACCTTCATCAGAAGGAGATTCTTTACAAATGACAGTTGCTAGGAAATGGTAACTTTCTAACTGCAAAAACCGCAAAGAAATACACACATCCCATGATAGCCTAGTGAGTGAGGACTGCCTGGGGACAAGGACACTGTGGATTCATGTCTTGGTATCAATAAATACTCTTTGGAGCAAAATGAAAGAGCTTCAGTAGGAGACAGTGCTCCCTGCTGTTAAACATCTACTTGCTCCTACTCATTGGTATAAATTATTGTCATATCCCAGTTTGGGTTCTCACCCTCAAGGAAGAGTTGTTAGTGTTTTCAGAGGAAGTCTAGAAAGGTGTTAGTTTTGTCCAAGGAAGAAACAGAATTATTTATTTATAGCTTGAAGATTATTGTTGGATGAGAAGATTGTTTCCCTTCCAGTCTGGCCCATCATCAAGCTGACGCTGGATGAAGGCTGCAGTTGAATTTGACTTTATGGAATCCATTTCTCCTTCCTTCTTGCATAAGGGCACTGGAGTTTTAAAGGCAGGAAGCGTGGCTCCTGTCCAGAGTAGCAAGCAGAACCTCAACCCTTGCTAAATATTCTTATTACTATCCATGGAGCTACCAGTCCTCCTCTGAAGGGCAGACGACTCAGCAAGGAAAGCAAAAAGTGGAATCCTTGAGCAGATCCAAGCAAAGGCCAATAACAGTCAAAGCTTGAAAGGGAAAAATTTGCCACTGCAACAACTAGAGGAGATAGAAAATGGCTTGTTTATAGAAGTCTAAATGGTTGACCCCCATCGGCCAATTTCGGAAAGTCTCCAAGATAATCGCACCTGTCCAGTAATAAACGAATGAATCAGAAAAGGAGGCTGAAAAGAGGTATAAGCAATAATGCTCAGAGGCTGCCTGATACAATGGCCAATCAATAGGAGGGCTGTAGATCAGGGTGCTAGTTAGCTGGAAAATTACCACACGGCTGCGTGCGTCACGCTGTAGGGATCCTGGACAATCAATGTGGGAGGTATTGATTTAGTTATTATCACTTCATACGCTCCAGACATTGTTAAATATACATTTATTAACAAGACTGGGGTGCATTGGTAAGAGAGGGAGCTTTAGCCACTGCAGTATCTCCCAGCACTGATCAAAGCTCAGCTGTGACAGACTTTAAATTCCATGTTCTCCCTGCCAAGTGTGCTCTCAGGACAAATCCTGATGCACAGCGCAGTGCCCAAGATGCAGCTCCTATCTGTCAAGAAAGATTTTGGCTACAAGTGAGTATTTTGCACTCAAGATTTCAGGAAAGCCTCCCAGAGCAGCAGTAACCAGGGATGTGGCGGCCAAGGGTCAACCCAAAGTGAGCGATAATTGCATGGTTGCTTCCGAAAAGCTGGAGGAAATGAGGTCAAGGGAAATAGGGAGAACATTAGTAAATAAAGGAAACTGGAACTACCTCCAGGGATAGAATAAAGACAAGAGTCACTTCCCATGTGTCTCGCTCCCGTAGTGGCCAGCACACTTGGGACACATACCATTCCATTTAGTGACATTTTACCGTCAACCTGCTGCTTGTATCCTAAAGATAAGCATCGCTTAGGAGCAACTCTTCCTGCAGCAGCAATCTTGGGAACTCCCTCAGGCTTCCCTCTTGCGAGCACACCTCGCATGCGCTCGCCTGGACACAGCTGGGAGCAGCCTGTGCAGTATTTTTACAGGGCAACGCCGGGGTAGAGCGAGGGTCAGAAAGCCAAGCTTCACCGATGGGGAAGGCTGTGTACAAGTTACCCTGCCAAGGGAGGCAGAGGGAATTACAGGGAAGAAGGAATTGGCTTCCACAGCCCTACTGTCCCTGCTTTGCCTTGACCTCATGCTGGATATAGGAGGACTCTTTTAACAATTTTGCGCCTCAGCGCTCTGATTTGACGTGTTTGGATAACGTCATTTATCAGCCTCCAGAGAGACGTGCTGAGCAACACTGCTGCCAAGAGCAATGCCTCGAGCCCCAGCTTGAGGTGGTGCTTCTCCAACCACGCAGGTGCGAGTAGCCTCGCTGATACCTGAACTGTCCTCCCTGGCTGAGGACGTATCAAGAGGGCACATCCACGCTCTGCTCACTGTGGACCTACATCAGCATAAACAGGGAAGCCTCAGCAAGGTTCTTTATACAACAGTAGAAACATGAAGGGAGGGTTCCTTGTGGAGGAAGCTTGGTCCTGCTTCTCTCTGGACTTTGTGGTGAACCCTTCAGCAACTTGGCAGTCACAGTTGAGGACGCTGGGTACCAGGGAGCAAGTCCGTGAGGGTGGGCAGGCAGCATGTGACAGTTTCCAGTCTTTGTGCCCAATGCATGTTTTTCTACTATTCATAGCATTTTCCCCTGAGCACTGAAAATGAGAACAGAACTTTCTTCCTCTGAGCAAATCCTTGCTTTGTTCAATTAAAAGGCCAGAAGAAGGGCACAAAAATACCACAGAAGAGGAAAAAGGACCTATCTGTAGCTTAGAGCTGTTACTCAGCAATCACCTCCTGGGAAATCTCCCCAGGGAATCAGCTGCCCCCCTCTTTGCAAAAAAAACTTTAACCCAAACACTGGTTATTTGTCAAACATTAGCATGCATGTGATCTTTGTTTCTCCAAATTAAATCGAGCAATTCCTACCCGCTGTCCCAGTGGACAATCACAAGCAATTCCGTTAATTAAATTATCTCTGATTCTGCAGCTCTGGAATCTCTCAATTGACTAAGTCTGTGCTTTATCATCAACAAAATACTGGACCAAAAAGGAAACAAAAAAATGCTGATGTCAAAGTGATTGGCTTCAGTTAACCCTTCCCAGCTGGATACTAAGGGCTGCTCAAGAAACTGTTGGACTGGAACGAGCCAAAGAGCAAGAGCCTCGTACCAGAGATACCAGCAGCAGCTGTTCACTTGTGTTTCCCTTCCACTGTACAGAAAACAACACACTGCCATATCATCCCTGCATCCAGCATCCTGCCTAATTGAGAGCCACAGAAAGATGCAAACTGTTAGCTGCTGAAGAAGCAGAAAAACACCTCAAAGATCAGTAAGCCCCTGCAAATACCCCCTTCCTCCCTTTACCCAGATCTCACTTGCTATATCCCACCGTTGAGTAGTCTCCATAAAACATTCCCCTTTGGTTTATTTCAGCTGGATATAAATTTTTCTTTCTTCGTAAACAGCCACACTGTACACAGCATTCCATAAATTTTTACAATTCCACTGTTTGTATGTACCTTGTAAAAAACACTTAGCACGGATTAAATGCACCACCAATAAAATTTCACAGGCTACTTTTGACACTTGATATTCTGACCTTCTTCCATCTTCTTCATACATTTATTTTTGGTTTTGTGTGCCTGTAAACACAGAGTGGCAGAGGGGAAAATGTACAGTACCACTGACAAACTTGAGAGTGATGTCTTTATTTTTAAATAAAACCTTTGTCTTCCCTTGTCTGAGGTGGAGAACCTGATCCCAGCAGAACATACATGCCATTTCCCTGCACCGGGGGCAGAGGTCAGGTCACTAGCAGC